GATTTGGAGTCGATCGTACTCAGTGATTTATCACAGAAACAAAGAACAGAGTTCCATATGTTCTCACTCATAAGAGGAACTTGAACAATTATAATCTATGGGAAAGCAATTGGCAGTGATGGGAATCTGTTGTTGAGGGGGTGGGGACTGGCAGTTGAGGGAAACTGCTAGGTGAGGGAGGGGCATACCTCATTAACAGGGGTACCTGCATGATCAATGTTTGTGTACCTAATCCTGGATTGTACCCCACATCTTTACAATAAAAATTTTTTTAAAAAAGAAATAATATTCAAGACGACAACTATATGTGAGATTGTTGGAGGAGCAGGTGAAAGAAAAGGAACTGAGCTAAATTCTTGACTGATTTAGGATGAGGTGATATGATTTGCTCCAGATGTTAATAGCAAATTATAATATAAAATGTATATAAACACTGAGGTATGTAAGAAACATAAGATTGAGATGTACAATTTTTATATCAATTAGGAATTCTATTTGGTAGCTATAATAGAAAGCTAGAAAACAATGGCTCAAGCAAATTAGAGCATTACTTTGGATAATAATGCTCTAATTATTTGGGAATCCCTGCCTGTATTTAGCTGGCAGTATTAGGCTTTTTCTATCACTCTGCTTTCCTGTGCTGGTGATTGGACCCTTGTCCTCATGTTCTCTGTATGGCTATCAGAGTGTCAGCTAGCATGTGTACATTTCAGGAAATAGAGGGGTAAAAGCAAAGGGCAAGGAGGCTATCCTAGCCTGAGGCCACCTCCCACAAAGCTTTCCCAGGGGACCACCCAGTGACTTTTGCTTCATTGGCTGATAAGTGTCACATGACTACCCCAGTTGCAAAGAAGGCTGATGAAGATCCTCTTTTTTTGCTCCCTCACTGAGCTGGGCATATTGCTATGCCAAATAATTACGGTTCAATTAGTCAGGAAAATGAAGAAAAATGATGCTGACTAGGAAACTAGCAGTCTGCCTCAGCTTTGGAAATGGTAAAAGGAACAAAGTTCCAAACATTTCTCAACAATTTAACAAAAGACAAAAAAAAAGGACAAGGGGAAAAAAAAGGGACAGATGAGAACCCTGAAACAATATGCTGATAAGTTCAGGCATATCAGAAGTAAAAATAACTGTGAATTTGTAGTAGTATTTACTAAAATACAGAGACTTTCTTGCTGGACAAAAGAGAAACATCTGTATTTTGTGAACAAAAGGAAATGGGAAGTTGAAAATAATGTAATAGATAAAGATGTAGTATAGAGGCAGTTTCACTTCTAATAATGATGTGCTAAGTAATTGAGGTGATCCTTTGCTGAAGATAACTGGAAAAGCTGAACAGAGTATTTTTAAATTTTCTGCTGGAAGGAATGAAAAAATAACAATACAGTAAAAAAAAAATTATTGGACTATGATCCAAACTACAAAAGACATCCACAGATACAAGCCCAGTGTGTAGGTATTGTCCAACACCTTCGTCTGAAAGAGATTCTCCTGTGCCTTTTCTGTCCATGTGTCGTCCTCACTACTTGCACTGCCCTCTGCCCAGCTCCTGTCTTCCTCACATCCCTCATCCTACTAACTTCACACTGAGGTCCCACAGTCTTAACTGGCTTCTTCTTCTTCCCTACATTCCCCTTAGGGCCCCACACCAGCCTCCCCCATACTAACCCTACTCATTTTAGATGTACTCCTCAGTGACCCCTGGGCAGAAACTCTGAGGGGGCCAGGGCCTCACTCTGACCCCTCAGACCTTGGCTCTTCTGCTCAGCATTGACCATTCAGTACCAGGTGAATTTTCAATGGCCAGGAACAGGTAGAGATCAGCCCCTACTTCTGCAGTGACTGTCCCTGACCTGTCTCTTGACTGTGGCAGGAGAGCAAAGACATTTCAGCCTTAGATGGGACCTTAAGTGTTTCCTCTCCTGCATGTGTCTTGCTCTTCCAGGAGGCTGATAACTGGGTGCCCTGCAGACTGGCCAGACCTAGGAGATTTAGCCATAGTGAAGGAGTTTCTCCTGCCCCCAATTCTGCTATCCTCATCAAACATAATCATTGCTAGATTTCTACTGTGTATCTCTTCCTAATCCCCGTCTCCAAATAGTGCTTTTATAACACATGCACATAAATATAGGTAGAGATCATATCATCCTTCATGCAATTTATTTCACTTGTACTACTCCATATCCATATGGAAAGAACAAACTCATTCTTTGTGGTTTCATTAAGTGCTTGTTTGATGAATTTTCACAATTCTATCTTCCCTGGTAACCACCACCCAAAATGTGATATCGCACATCCTTCTTTGTTTTTTTGTGCTGTTTTCAGTCAAAATCCCTACATCTCTACCCTAGATGTAAATTCCTCTCTGATTCATCTTACCTGTAGATTAGTTTTGCATTTTTTCCTGTTTTAGAATTTTATATAAATGCGATCATTCTGTAGGTACCCTTTGTGTCTGGTTTATATCATTTAATAATGTTTCTGAGATTCACTTGTATTATTTGGTGTATGAATACATTCTTTTTTTTTTTTAAATCACTGAGCATTATTCCAAGGTATGAATATACCACTATTTCTTTGTCTAGTCATTCACTGGTGGACTTTTGGCTTGTTTCCAGTTTTGATCTATTTGAATAAAGCTGCTATTAACATTCATGCAGCCAGGCGTGGTGGCTCATGTCTGTAATCCTAGCACTTTCTGAGGCAGAGGCAAGAGGATTGCCTGAGTTCAGGGGTCCAAGACCAGTCTGAGTAACACAGCAAAACATCATCTCTAGAAAAAAAATTCATGCACACATATTTTGTAGACATTGTTTTCATTTTTATCCACATATTTTTAGGAGTGACTCTACTGAGTTATAGGGTGAAAACATGCTGCTCTTCATTAGGAAATGCCGAACCATTTTCCCAAGTGGTTCTTCTGTTTCACACCATTCTACAAGCAGTGTGTAAGAATGTGTAAGAGATCCAGCTCCTCTGTATTCTTTCCAATATTTAGTGGTTTCTTTTTCTCCCCCCCCTCCTGCCCCCATTCTTTCTGCACCCAGGCTGCAGTGCAGTAGCACAATCACAATTCACCACAATCTGGACCATCTGGGCTCAGGTGATCCTTCCACCTCAGTCTCCTGAGTAGCTGGGACTACAGGCACACACCATTATGACTGGCTTATTTTTTTTATTTTTGTAGAGATGAAGTCTTGTTATGTTGCCTAGGTCAGCTTCAAACTCCTGGGCTCAAGCAATCCTCCCACCTGTGCCTCCAAAAATGCTGGGATTACAGGAGTAAGCCACTGTACTCAGTCAGTATTTATTTATTTTGTCCTTCCTTCCTTCCTTCCTTCCTTCCTTCCTTCCTTCCTTCCTTCCTTTCTTTCTTTCTTTCTTTCTTTCTTTCTTTCTTTCTTTCTTTCTTTTGGAGTCAGAGTCTCACTCTGTCACCCAGGCTGGAGTGCAGCAGCATGGCTACTGTAGCCTCAACCTGCTGGGCTCAGGTGATCCCACCACCTCAGTCTCCCAAGTAGCTGGGACTACAGGTGTACCACCATGCCTGGCTAATTTTTTAAATTTCTTGTAGAGATGAGGTCCCACCATATTGCCCAGGCTGATCTCAAACTGCTGGGCTCAGACAGCCCTCTCACTTTGGCCTTCCAAAGTGCTAGGATTATAGGCATGAGCAACAGTGCCCAGCCAGTATTTCTAATTTTATCCATTCTCTAGGGGTGCTTAGGGATATCTCATTTGATTCTCATTTTTATTACCATCATGACTAATGATGTTGGGCATCTTTTCATGCTTCCTAGTCATTTGCAAATCTCTTTTTGTGAAGAAGTTATTTAAGAAATTTGCTGCAAATTCATTCTTTCTCATGCTTATTTGGCTCCTTTGTTTGAGTGAATTGAAATTTTCCTATTAATGAAGGTTAAAATTGTCTTGATTTTATGTTTTTATCAACTAGACTGAAATGACTAACTGTATACCCCTTTGTGCCAATGAGCTACTACTTCCAGTGCCTTGCTTTTGTAGTCAGATTTTGGCCATTTCTGCAAGAAAGAATGGAGAAGAGCTCCACATTTTTACTAAAAAGAACTCTACTATTGGAATCCACTTTGGTGCTTAAGTCATAGGTGCCCTTATGACATCATCACTCTTTTCCCTCCTCCATTCTTCCTGCCACAGTTGTGGCTGGAGTACAGATCTGAGCATGATGGAGTCATCTTGCCCCTAACCATGGGCAATTTAGGGGACTGCAGACCTGAGGGGTTGAACCATCTACCTCCAAGTCATGGGTAGTCAATGTTGTGTAAGAGACAGCAAGTCCACCCAAATTTGGAGGCAGGGGAAAACAGATTTCCAAAGTTAATTGGGATGCAAACCCTATGTCTGTGGTCTCTGGGCAAGCTAGGAGCTGAGGATGTGGTGGACTTGTCCCTGAATTCTTCAAAGAATAACCTAGCCACAACTTTCTTCTTTAAAATCTGATTACAGAAGGATGATATGTGCCAAATCATAATTGAAGAAGTTGAGGTACATCAGAAGAAGGCAGAATCTAAGTCACCAAAACCAAAGGTAGGTTGAAGAAGGTCCTCGAGGTTGGCAGAGACCCCTGACCTACAACATCTCTGACCTATGTTACCCAACAGTAATGCTTGTCTTCTTGGTGGCTCATAAAATTGGATAATCATAAAATTACTTATCCTAGCCAGGATATAGTTGTAAATGAAATGTGGTGCTATTATTATCCAGGAACAACCACTGCAAACCAAGATTGTTGTACACCTGGGACAAATGGTTGCCCTGTTTAAAGCTGCAGTAAATAGGGATTAACTTATCCTGGGACATCTCCTCAAACTTCCTCATCTACCTGAGAAAGTTAGGTGATGGAGGCATGAGACTTGGTTGTCAGGAAGATAAACCCGAAATGTGGGAACCAGGCCATGCAAAGGTGGGGAGTAGAAGAATGAGGTCTGTGTTTGGGGAATGCATGACCAAGCAAAGGGAAACCTAAATCTAGAATTTTGTGGAGCATACCTACGTGCCCATGTGTGCCTAACACAAGTCTAAAAGAAGTGTTAAGAGAAAAAGTGTGTTAAAAGAAGTGAAAGTGAGAGGGAGATGAGGAAGATCCCCAACTGTGGAGCAGGGACATTTTAATGGTCTGGTATGACAGAAGGAGAGAGCAGGTTGTGAATTTGAGCTTGAGTTGGGGATAAGAGGACAGGGCCACCAAAAGGTGTCATTTCTTCAGTAGGTGGGAAGGGTCTGAAGGGAGGGGTCATGGATTCCAGGTAGGCAGTTGGGCCCAGGTGGAGCAGACTAAGTAACCTTTGACCATTCATCATAGAGCTCTTGCTTAGATTGGCCAAAAAGGTTTATAAAAACCAGGTGAGGTAGCTAGGGCAAGTGTATCCCCATTTTACAGATGGGAACATTGAGACTCAGAAGTCTAAGTGAGGTGACCTTGCCCATTAACCTGTGGATGGCATAGGTGGGACACTTACCTACTCTCCTGGGTTAGCTGTTGCCGCCCCAGTGTTTCTGAACTTTAGAAGTAAGGAGCCATGGTAGAAGATCAAGGCCCCTTCTAAATTCCTGGGGCTAAGAAGTGGGGGAAGTGGAGTCCTGACTGTTCTTTCTTTTCTTACAATCTCCCATCCTTTCCCAGAAAAAGCCACCCAGTGACACTGACAGGGCAGCAAAAAAGATCCAGGCCTGGTGGCGGGGCACACTAGTACGCCGCACACTACTGCATGCTGCCCTCAGAGCTTGTATCATTCAGTGCTGGTGGAGGAAGGTGCTGGCAAGGATGCTGGAGAAGAGGCGGCTGACGGCACTGGAGCTCTGTGTACGGCAAGAATGGGCAGCCATAACGCTGCAGTCCTGGGTTCGCATGTGGCTCATCCGCCGCCGTTACTGTCGTTTGCTAAATGCTGTCCGCATCATCCAGATCAACTGGCGCTGGCATAGTTGCCATACCCGTGGCTTTTTCCATGGCACTTATGAACTCACAACAAGCCAGCTAAGACTTGAGCTTGACATCATCCTGGGATCACAGATTTGCCGGATCACAGACTGCATCCCCTTCCCAATAAAGAATTGACTGGGCCTGTCCCAACTTTGTGTCAGCAGTTCTCCATTAAACAAGCTCCAGGAGGTCTTTATCTCAGCAAAGTGTCAGAGAAAGTGATGGCAGATATCACCTGGCACTAAAGAAGTCAGCTCTGAGGAGTCAGCTGGCTTGTTCTGGGGTCCTATGGGGAGACGGATTTGACAGCCCCAGACTGGAGGAGCTGGACCTGTGATTGATTGGCAATGTCTGCTATAAGAAAGAGGGTTAGGATTGAAGGGTCTTCAAGCTGACCAACTCCAGGAACACTGGTTCATGTTGTAGTGTGTGTAAATGGTGCCCCCTGTGATGGTGCAATATGGAGGCCTGTGCCATCCTTTGCTCTTAATCCTCTGGTGTCTTCCCATTACATTTAGAACAAGTTCAAAAGCCTTCCCCAGGGGCAGTACAACCCTGCATGACTGGGCCCTGGTCATCTCACCCTCTCTGTCCTTCCTGGCTGCTCTGCTTGTCAGCAAATGCCCAATCATGTTCCTATCTCAGAACTTTGCACCTGCCACCTGCTCTCCTAGGACTGTCTGCTTCCAGATGGAGATCTCACCTCGTGCAGGTTTGTCTCTGTGCAAATATTCCACCTCCAGCTCCCGACTCTTCTTTCCTATTTTCAATGTCTACATCACACAAGAGGTGGTCTATTCTCATTATTTGTCTATTTTCTGTTCTCCCCTCTGGAGGGCGAACCCCAGGAGAGCAGGACCCTGGGGTCAGTGCTGCATCCCCAGGACCTGGAACAGTGCCTGGTATATAGTGGTTCTCTACTTCTCTCTAAATGTGTGCAGGTTGAATATTCCTTTTCTGAAATGCTTGGGAGTAAAAATGTTTCAGATTTCAGGGTTTGGGAGATTTTGGAATATTTGCATTAATACTCATTCCTGATATGAATATCTGAAATCCGAAATGCTCCAATGAACACTTCCTTTGAGCTTTGTGTCAGTGCTCAAAACATTTAGGATTTCAAAATTTCAAATTAGGGATATTCAACCCATGTATACTTAGAAATGCAGACTGGTCAATCTAGAGCCAGACATTCTGCACCTGGCTCTTAAAACGCAAGGAGGCAGCATTCTTCTGCCTTAATTATCCCCGGGCAGGTACCTGGAAACTGGGGATTCCCTCTAAAATTTAGAGTCCACCAGATCATTCAAGCTAACCAATCAGCTCTTTACTCTGCCCTGCTTTGCCTTTCCTGTTGAGACTCCAATAAAGTCCAGAGCCTAAGCCCTCTCCTCGCTCCTGTCTTCTGCTACCTACCAAAATCTGGAGCTTCCCTTGTGACCCTTCATGGCATATGATGACTCCCTCTCCAGGTCCTGTTAGTATGATAAACTGTGTTTTCTTGAGTGCCTCCATGTCTCCTCTTGTGGCCACACCTGGCTGACCATCACTTAAAAGAACACAAGATTTGTGTGTGTGTGTGTGTGTGTGTGTGTGTGTGTGTGCTTGTAAGGTTGAAGTGAGCTTCACATGAATCTAAATTTGTTTCAGATTAACCACATAAGATTAACCACTAATCTAAGATTAATAATTCAGTGGCATTTAGTACATTCACAGTGTTAAACAACCACCACCTTTATTAAGTTATAAGACATTTCTATCATCCTACATAAATTCTTTACCCATTCAGCAATCATTCCTTATTGTTCCTTGCTTCAGACTCTGGCAACCCCCAATCTGTATTTGGTTTCCATGAATTTCTGTATCCTGGATATTTCATGTAAATGGTATCATATAACATTTTATATCTGGTTGTTTTTTTTTTCACTGAATATATTTTCAAAGTTCTTCCATGGTGTAGCATGCATCAGTACTTCATTACATTTTCTAGCTAAATGATACTTCATTGTATGGATACACAACACTTTATCCACTTGTTCATTGATGAACATGTGGATGTTTGCACTTTTGGCTATTGTGAATAATGCCATTATGAGTATTTAACAGCTGTACCATTTTATATTCCCTTCAGTAATGTACAAGTGTTCCAAATTTCATTCTCCTACCCCATCTCTTTCTTTCTTTCGTTGGGTTGTACTCTGTCATCCAGGCTGGAGTGTGGTGGCATGATCACAGCTCACTGCAGCCTCCACCTCCTGGGCTCAGGTGATCTTTCTGCTTCAGCCTCCTGAATAACTTGGTCTACAGGCACTCACCACCACACCTGCTAGTTTTTTGTAGAGACAAGTTCTTGCTATGTTGCCCAGCTGATCTCAAACTCCTGGGCTCAAGCAATCCTCCTGCCTCAGCCTCTCAAAGTGCTGAAATTACAGGTGTGAGCCAACATGCCCAGCCACAAGTGTTTTAATTTTTCTATATCCTTGTTAACACTCATTATTTTCTGGTTTTTTAAAAAATTATATCCATCCTAGTCAGTATGGCATGATATTTCATTATGGTTTTGATTTGCATTTCCCTAATAACGAATGATACTGTGAGTTAGGTGCGTGTTGGCCATTTGAATATCTTTTTTGAGCAAATATCTTTTCAAGTCCCTCTATATAATTTTAATTGTGTTGTAGTTTTCTTTTGTTGGTTCAATAATTATTTACGTAATGAATGAATACACAGTTCATAAATCTATCTAGGTCTTAGATCTGTGACTTTAGCATGGCCAAAATACTACTCCCTAGAAAGAACCGTTCCACCATCCCTGAATAATTCTCTCAGTCAACCACCCCAGATCCCTCATACCCAATAGACATGTTGTTCACAAGCTCCCTGACTTGCCCTTTCTCTCCAGTAATGTTTGTATGTGTGTGTGTGTGTGTGTGTGTGTGTGTGTGTGTGTGTGTGTGTGTGTGCGCGTGCATGCAGAGTGGTGCATGCACAGAGTGGTGGGAGCAGTTTCTACTGTTGTCCCTCCACGTCGTGTGTATATGCTACTCTCTGACTCTATTATTGTTTCTCTCTCTGTCTCTGATTACCTCTTATAATGTTGTCTGTCACTATTATTATCTCTTTCCATTCCTCACTGTCTTTCTCTCTTAGTCTCTGCTTTTCTCTGTCTGTAGCTTCCCTTGTGACCCTGCGTGGCACAAGATGACTCCCTCTCCTGGTTCTATAAGTATAATAAACTTTGTTATTATACTCTTTACTTTTATTATAAACTTTGTATTATGTAAGACTTTTCTAATGTTGTGCCTCCTACCTGTTTCTCTGAATTTGAATTGTACATTGCTGTAAAGATTATTATTTAACCAACCAATGCTCAGACACTGCTTTGCTCTCCTAAGTCCTGGCTACTCTTTATACTCAAGTCCCACAATGATGGGACAGACAAGCCTCAGAGAAGGCACCAGCATGATTACTCCTGGGTAATGGAGGCATGACTTACTCAGGCTCAGCCCAGGATGTGCAAGTGCTTAAGGAATATAAGAATACTTTATACATATCATCACATCACCATTGGTTCAGGGGTTAGTACAAGACCCAAACCAGGCCAGTGAGATGCCTCTCTGGTGCTATGTTGAAATTATTGGGCTGGTTAACTATAAGCTTTATGGAACCAGAACTGCTGGAGAACACCACTTAGAACAAGTTTGCTAAGAATGGAGCCAACAGAGAAAAGTAGAACCAAGGGATGGAAAGAGGAAAGCTAAGTCCTAGCCATGCTGAAGCGACTCTAACTTGTGGGAAATCTTAATTTTGTGAATAAAGAAATCCCCATTTTCTTTTAACTCAGTAAAGACAGATAGCAAAAGAGTAGGACACTTCAGCAGATTAATAAAAACTTAGAGTTTAATTTTATGTAAGCAATGTTTCAGGAAATGGTTTTCAAAAACATGTTCTTTGAAAGCGATTGGTTGTAGTGGGAAACTGGGGGGAGGTAAGATTGGCAGTTGAAGGAAACTGCTAGAGGAGGGAGGACATACCTCATCAACAAGGGTACCTGCATAATCAGCGTTTGTATACCAAACCCTGAATTGTACCCCACATCTTTATAATAAAAAAATGAAAAAATAATAAATAAATGAAACATGTTCTTTGAATCAGAAATTTGACAGACATGTGCCTGGGGAATCCTTGACAGTAAAAGTAGAATTGTCTGTCATTTAATATGCACAGAAGACCAGAACATTTCTGTATGCTGAGGAAAAAGAAGCTGCCATGGATTAATGTACACATCAGTTCATCATCTAAAATCAGAATGGCTGGAGGGTAAATGGAACATGGATTGGTCACCTATGAGCCAACTTTGGACCTTTACACTTTGCCTAGTTTGACAAGTCAGCAGGAGGGAGCCATGGGCACCTGTCAGCCTTTCATGAAACAACTGCATTAGGAATAGATGAACAGGTGGGGCCTTCTCTTGCTGTCTACTCTGCTTATGCAAAGCATCATGTGGCAGCCTTCACTTCCAGGATAACCTCTGAGCTCAGTCTCCTAAAGAAAGTGAACAATTTCCCCCATGCAGAGATTGTATTGTGGGCAAGGGAACTAAGAGAGAAACGGTAAGAGCAGCACTTCTCAAGGCTTAGCACGTACCACAAGCACGCGGAAGGATTGTTAAAACAGATTGCTGGGCTCCACCTAGCACTTTGGATTCAGTATATCAGAGTCCCAGATTGTGTATTTCTAACAGGCTTCCAAGTGATCCTATGGCTGCTGTTCCGGAGCCCCCTACTTTGAAACTCATTCAGGTAGAGTGTATATCAGAACCTCTATCAGGATTATGGTGTCTGTGAATGATAGCACAAAGGAACAGTGGCTTCAATAAATGGGAATTTCATTTCTCTTTCCCATGTAAGTTCAGTAGAGGTGGTCCAGGCCTAGTATTGCACTCCGCCCTAGTCCCTTCTCCTATGTATTGCCTCCATTCCCAAGGTCACTTAATGATCAAAAAATGACTGGTTCAAGTTTAAAATTACATTGACAATCAAACCAGCAGCAAAAAATAAAATCTCTTTAAGGGCATATCCTTGAAGTTTTGTGTGCCATTTTGCAAACAGGTTGGACACACAAAACAGAAGACCTGA